TGAATTATTATTATTATTATTATTATTATTATTATTATTGTCTGGTTATTATTATTATCACTTTACACAACCTGAACTAAGGAAACAGATACTGAAAACATGGACAACATTTGGACGTGAGGTGGGAAGCAGGGACAAATTACTCCAAAAATGCACGGCGAGTCACACGGCTAGACACACACATCCCTGATACCCGACAAACCTTACTCAACTATCAACACACATTTCCTTTTGTGACGTCTGCACATTATTTCTGATTATAAAAGGGTGAAATCGAGGGAACCACACACTTGGGGGTCTTGGAGATATTATTCAATAGTGGCGGACCAACCTTTTCCAATATGTCGCCTGGTATTTTCGATTGTAGAGTTCCGATTTACATTGGACAGCAGACCGAGACAAAAGCGATCCGCATTGTTGGATGGGTCGGTGAATCCATCAATAATGATGCTGGGCTGCAGTGCATTGAACGCTTCGCCGACTCGATTGTTCAGCTCGTAGTAGACAACGGAACACCAGTACTTTGGCTCTTGATAGGTTACCGGGTGCATACCTGAAATAGGTTCCAACAGATTCGGATATGAGGTGCACACGTTTCTAGGTCAAGCACTGAAAAGCTCATCAAGGTTAATACAAGTGTCGACTGTATGGAAAAAACGACTGATATCAGATTTAGAAATGTCGGTCATCATCGCGTTTGGAGTGGGTCGGGTCCCGAAAAGTTCCCCTAATTCAGAGCTTTCGTCCTTATTGGGACTCATCAGGTGGGTGCGGGGGAATCGAACGAGTGATGAATTGGTGAATACCTTCGTGTTGTCATCTTCCGATTACGAGTCCATCAACCAGATCAGATGTTGATCTATTCCAACAATAGCTCTCACCGCCGGTGAATATTCAGACTTAGTCAACAGCTGGCCGGACCACGAATCACATCACCTGTTTGTATGGTGGTTATAGCTGCCACGGTTTTGTTCACTAGTGTTTTGGTGAAGTGGGGGAGGAGTAGCTGCCATAAATGATGCTGTGATGAATACGTGGCGCGCATATTTAGGACACCGGATTCATTCACTCAGGTGAAACAATAACTATATTCAATTCTACTTTAGGCCACTAATAGTGAGCCCACATTCAAAACTATGCTATGCCCAAACCTGGCAGCTGGTTGTGCGTCATGAGTAGCAAGGGATTCCGGATACTCATTAGGCCTAGTCATCCTACTCCAGGAGGAAGTCGCTGCAAGACAAACAAGCTGTTTGAGAAAAACTACAGTGGATAGCTTCCTTATATGTAATCAGATGGAAGTCATTGTACTGTTCGCCATAGACTCGCTCCCTTAGCTTCACTCTGCAACGATATGCGCGGTTCTGACCATAGATTACAGAACAAGAAAACAGAGAATGTTGTAGTGCACGTGTATCGCATTTCGCACCCGAAGGGTCGTTTGGTTTAATCCATGTTGACTGATACTCCAGAAACGATCTATAACAGACACCACGTGAAAAGAGAACATTGGTATGGCAAACTACAAGCAGGCAATGGAGGTAAGAACACGGTGATCGGCGGATCAAACCACGGGAAAGTGAGCGAGGATGAAGCGAAAGAATGACACCAAGAGTAGCACTGGAAAAGATTAATGTGTGCTATGTGCTATGACAGAGAACAAGCTAGAAAGCGCATGTTCAGTCATCAGGTAATCGAGTCACGGCACCTAACGAAATATATGAATGCTTAGGGTGTGTTACACTGTGTTTGGTGTGCACACACGCAGATGCGTGCCTGCGCACAACTAGGTCACTAGTCGGGAGGGGAGGCGCCATAAAGGATGATAAATAACCGATGACGTGGATGGAAAACAAGCTCCATGGTGTGTAATGAGCGCACACCTACATGAGTGCACAAAAAAATCAGGGAAAACCAAACAATATACAAAACACAACCATGTAGAGAGCAGTAGACTGGTGCGTACGTGTACACGGAGCAAAAGATGATACCGGGAATCGACCAATCAAGAAAGACGCAGTGGTAACCAAAAGGCATGCCGCTTTTCTGGTCACGGGCACAGACAATGCTACTTCTGTGATGGAGTATCGGTTAGATTGGTGCGTTAAACGATACCGGTTTTGGTGTGGTAAAGAATTGCAACAAAGTAGAAGGTGGATCACTGTGTGGGTGGTGGGAAGAACTAGGGATGGGTCGAAGAAAGACATGGTTCACGGTCAAGTAAAACCAATCCCAAAAGGATGGAAGCCTCATTGCAATTATTACCGTACAGGGAGTGCAGGTAACTAAAAAAGCAGACTGAATCACGACTATCCACGAAATACAGTCGGTAGTTCCTTCACCAAGCCTGGTTGCGGGCTGGACACACGGGCCCACGGAGAAATTGTTCCATAAAAACTGGAATCATGGATCGAGAAATACACTCATTTGCAAATCAATTTAGTTTTCACGAGAGACTCAACTGAATCTCTCGTTTATGATATTCTACAACTGAATGTGCTGCACACAGGCCGCCTCCTGATTCAGTCGGCACGATATTCGAGATATCGCAGTATATTTTCATAAGGGAAACTACTCACAAGGTTGCTGAAGAGTCTTCAGCAGTGGGCTGTCGAAGAGTTTTCAGCAACCTTGTGAGTAGTTTTCTTTATGGAATCATGGGTCATTTAGAAACTTCGGGTGGCTTGAATGAAACAACAAACTGATTCGACTACCAGCATCCTTCAAACGATTTGGAACTCCAGTACTCACGCATCTAGCCCCTGCATGCACACGGATCAGGTTACTTCGCTGAAGTATTAGGGTGAACAAGTGACAATCGATAAAATGTGGATGCTGGTTCAAACAGCCACGACGGTGTTAGGAGTGGACGGCTATGCAGAAAATAAAATAACCTGGAGGCACCACAGGATGTGCACGTGCACCAAATTTACCACTAAATCCAACAATTGAGTATTCCCATCCCCAGACACTCCCCTAGCGAGATTTCAACACGAACGAAGGGCTTCGTAATGCACTGACAAGCTAAACATGAGGTCCCATAAATGTATTCCCGTGATTTGGTTGGTAGAAAAAAGATACTGGAGAAAGCAAATGATGAGCGAAGAACGTAACCACACCACCACCGTTCATCTCAGAATCACCGTTCGAAACTGACCCAAATGGTAAGTTTTTCGGAGTTAACTGACATCAGCTTGCAGTGTTTCAGCTCCTGGTGCACAATGCACTTTAAACTCCGCTTTCGCCGGAAAAATGTCGAATGCCGACGGCATCGCTGTTGATCCGACCCCTACATACTCAACAGGAAATATCGTCTTCTATCAGCAACGGGGAACCCTACAAAGTGATAACCACATTGATGAATTCGCTGCAAACAGTAGACACGGAGGGTATGAAGCACGATATAGTTCCATTACAGTATTATCATTCCGCAGTATTAGCTGAACAGCCAGGCTACCACGACGCCTGTCCAAGTAAGATAAAACTCGGCTGAAAGCGCATCACGGTCGGACACAAGACAGTATAACACTACCAACAAAACCTTAAGAAGATATCCTCATAAGACAGAGCTTAATATAAAGAACTCAGGAGAAGACTGCCATGGGCTTCCATTCGCCCATTACAACTTTCAAGGGGTTGAAGAAGTCAGTTGAAACACTACTTGGCAGACAACCATGGGATCTGCGGTTGAGAGGATACAAAGCAGTATTGAAGTCAAGAAACACTACCACTGTTGGACGTTCAGAACACACATTCCCACAAAATGTGGGGAAGTAAGTCACGTTCATGCTCAGGGCAAGAAGAGGCTCGACCTCAGGTAATAGACTCTCGGGGAACTCGCAAGGGAAGGGAGGGGACGGCAATATGATAGCAAGTTTCCAAGTTGGTGTACTAACGGTGCAGTGTCTGCGCACTTCCTACGTGACTGTCACGGTTGCAGAAGTTCCTCGTTTTGGAGTCCATATCCTTCCTTCTCGATTATGCACAGCAGTTATACCGGTTAGGTACTAGAGATTCACTCCGTTGTTAAAAGACGCTAAATCTAAACCGTCCACATCTGGTGGCCGGTCATGCTTTCAGAAGGGTCACTCCCCTCTGGAAACACGGATCCAAAGCCTCCGCTGCGGTGCAAATGAAACGCTCTTCGCAGTTCTCAACGTTTTGCTGTTGTTGTTCTCGTGGTAGGTCCTTTCTGATGACTAGCTCATCGAAATCTGAAACATGTATCACGACGCTTCACACACAGATTGGTGTATTATTCTGGTCCACAAAGTCCCGATTAATGCTCCCGGGAGCTCCAGTAGGTGGTAAGAAAGGTATCACATAACACTCAGTCAGGTTACTGAGTGCCGAACAGTAGATTACGCGCTATGTGTAACTCATTCTCTTTGGTGACCGACCCCTAGGCGTTACTACTAAGTTCACTTGGAATACCAAGTCACGCGCTAGCTTATGCACTAGAAAGGTTTGCATGGATACCTTTTAGGTAACCTCTATCACCCAGAAAAGCAAATCGTGTAGTGATCTGTCAGTTTCTACAGTTTTAATCATGTCGGGTAGGCGCAGCCACTGAATATTTCAGCCATGTATTGCAGTATACCCTATTTGTAAAACCAGTAAAGTCAAGCAAAAAAAACTCTGTGCACTGCCCAGGTGGTGAATTTTCATCATTCGCAATAGAAACGGAGACGGACAGGGGTAACAAAAAGCGATGATGCACTGGAATGTACTGACCATTTCGTTTACGGGGATATATGACTGTGTGGTGGTCACAAGAAGTCAGCTGACATCACGAAAACACGCCCAACTTTTCCCTGCGATCACATATGACTACCTATTTCGCCGTTACGGGTAGACAAGAGTGAGGCTACATCAGACTTGACCTGTGAGGTAGCGTCAACATCATTACGTTAGCTGACACTGAGGCATCACTGCTGTACACAAACCATTTGCACAGTTATGGAAAGTTGTATAGTCAAAACACAGTGTAGTGGGATAAGATGTCAATTCGCAAGTGAGTTTACAGTTCCATTAAAGTCAGATTTTGTATCCAAGTGGGAAATAAGAATATTTGAAGCTCTGGGACTACGCCTACCTGAATCCCAAGATGGTGGAACTGGTAGTAGTCAAAACACAGTGTAGTGGGATAATATGTCAATTCGCAAGTGAGTTTACAAGTGAGTTGTGGGAAAGTTTCCATCAATCTTATGTGTGGCGTTGTGTATGGTTCTCTTGTTTTTCAATGGTCGAACGGTGGCCACAAGGATGTGGATATTGCTTGGTAGGTTTCCTATAAACCACCGGATGCGCATAATCAAGCAGACTGAATCTCTTGGAGTTTGAGGCATGATTCCGGTTCAAGGCATCAGTGATGCCGCCATGGAACAGATCTATCAGGAACCATTTGCAGCCACATGGAATTCAGCAATATGGACAACAACCTCCTAAAAGGCGTCTGGATAAGCCGAGGAAGTAGGTGAAACTGCCTGCAGAGCATGGTTAGAAGCACCCCAGAGATACAAGTACAATTACCCACTACAAACACGAGATTCAATCACGAATGACTGGACCACGGGGTGATGGACACAAACTGCGTGCTGAAAGGGTAACAGGTACCGTAAAACCATATTGTTCAATATTCGTTTCGGAGCTGAACGGTGGTGTTGAAACACTCTTCCCAAAATCTTAGCGCTTGAAATTCTTCAGTAATTAGCAGAAATCACACTACTGGTGATTCTCAGCAAAGATTCAACGTTTATAAATCACTTCCAAGCTTTGCCGTATGGATTAAATTACATGACGTTGTCCACAAAATCCGTAGTCTCTACACCACACACACAATGTGGTCCCTAAGAAGTTTGGCTGGTACTCAAAAAGATGCAGTCACGACCAGAACACATTATTATTGCTATCAGAAAAGTATTCAATCTAGCCCTGTAACACAGCAACCCTAGTAGGACCAGCCTAGCCGCCAGGGCTAAAATTGACTGTAAAACTCATGAATAAAATAGGGTGATTTCTGGTTAAATCCTGAGTGATCTGAGAATTGAAAGTGTTAGGAGAACCAGCTCCGAACGTGACCGGACCATATAACAGCCAATGGAATAACCGTTTTCGTTGAGACAGATTTCACTGGTTGTTCTTCACTCATCCTTGACAGATGAGTTGTATTCTTACTATGGCTTTTTTTCACCCGCTTGTACGCGACAATGATCAATAGAGCGGCTCACTCGCACGTTCGTTGACTTTTTCTGGTTTGGTCAAGCGCACCAGGCTATTAATCGGCTATCCAGACCTGGGTTCATGGTAATAAGAAGGCATTAAGGAGACTGTGGTCCACAACAGAAAGGTAGTCAAATGCTGCCCTTGAGATCGCACGAAACATTGAACACGGTTCTGAGAAAATGAGCTTCCAGTGTGAGCTGGTGGAGTAGTGGTAACATTCGCATGTCACACGTTCGGAGCTCAAACCCCCGTATGGCCGAGGGTATGTACTGGTGATGAGGTATAATAAAAGCGAAACTCGAGTCTAGTACTTTCCTCCTTTGGTGTGGAGTAACTAGAATGATTGCGCCAGGACAGGAGAACGATTGTTCGAACGAAAGTTACGTGGACGTGAATTGTACAAATCCCGCAGTCACCAAGAGCTAATATATGGCTTCGTAGTGAAGTGGTTTGAAGAGTGCACCACCAAATAAACTGAACTCATACTTCTAACAACGGGAGTGAAGTTATACTGAAAGCCTGAAGAGCTGATGAAGTGTCTCATGGAGGATTACATTCACGGTATTCTTAAGGAATTGGGTCGTCCCCGGAGGCTTGCCTAGCATATGTACATCAAGGCCGAGTGGTGAACATGAAGCACGGAAGTCCATACATCCAGGACTAGCTGATGCAGTGTCTGGGACGGTGTCCATTCACCCTAGAAACAAGCGTGTTTCACAACCTACCCTGGAGAATTTTACCCACCATTCGAATAATAAGACGGTTTTCGCAGTTCGGTTGTGCTTTGTGAACAGTAGAAAACCTAACGAATCGCAATCAAGCATGTTGTCCGACTGAATCCACGGCAAGTAGGTGCAAATATCGAATTGTTTCACATATTAAAAAAAACAAGTACCGCGACGGTAAGGGTTCGCGATACAAGTACACGACAAGAAACCCGGAAAACTTTTGAAAACAATCAATGAATTTGGTTTCGCTCCTGGCTTCATCAGCAATTCGCAGTGTGGATGCTGTTTCGTTATCAACCACCAAAATCCATCAAACCGAGGAAAGTGGTTGGTCAAAATACTAGCTGAGTGGATTACAACTTGCTTAGTTGGTCTGATGAACCTCCGATACCAAGCGTGAAGCGTTCGTCAACCGCTTTCCAAGCTTTTCGAAACCACGACTAATCAATCTGCTTCAACCTGTTCCCAATCGATTGAATGACAGGAAAAGGTTCGAACAGGAAAGCGAAGGGGAAAGTAAATATGGTTCTCAGTCGAATACCGGAGGACAGTAGGAAGATGATCGCAAAATCTCGCACCGAATCTCACTCAACTACAACCTAAGGGAAACCGCGGAGTCTCACGATGAGGCACACCAACACGGCAAACTAAACACTAAATAAAAAACGAACAAGAAATCTTTGGCGTCTACAAAAGCGGCAAACGATGTTGTGATTAAGGATTGAGCTCAACGTACTACTTGGAGATGATAGCGTGGTGATGGAGCTTTCAGTGGAAGTACCATTGCTTGCCATCCCTGTGGGAGAATGTGCAAAGCCTTGTGGATAACTGACATTGTAGGGCATAGTGGGCTCGGGCATCTGATGAAACATGGACAGGCGATTACCAGCATTCCCGATGAGTGCGTTGTTTCCAGCCCCGCATTGTGGAGCGGTTGGTGATGAGGCGACGGAACCGACACTGGGATATTCACTGTGCCGAGGAACGAGGACTGGTGGCAGGACTGTATAGTTGTTTACGGAAGGGAAGAAAAACGGCACGTTAATGACAGATAAAAAGTGACAACTATGCTAGGGTACAATAAAAAAAATGAAGATACAAATGATTCGTCGAAAAGTGCACCAAGGCCGCTCAACCATTGGTATGCATCAAAGGGTGGATTGCATGTTCGATCTGAGATTCAACTGATCGCTCGTCATGTACTTTACCCAACCACTGCTGAATACCCGCCGAATATAGAAGCAACAGTATGAGGACACTGCTTTATCACCATAAAACCGAGCGGACTTAATTAGCTAAAGCTTTTAACGAAAAAAGAGAGGTTTCGTGCCCGACCATCAATAAAATCTGATGTGCCTACGTCTCGAGACATTCACTCCAATAGTCTAGACACAAACCGGTGACTTAAACGCCGTTCACGGATTAACACAGGATCGGTTAAGTGGATCCCGTTCTGGAAGGTGCATAGCACTGAAAAATACACAGGCTCTTCGTCGTCAAACACACAGGATCGAAGCGATCATTTTGACTCAATCCAGTGTGCACACCCTCGACATGTTACATACCTACAGTGCCCTAGTGCAATCAAGAAATCAAAACGGTGTAAAGCAAAACATATTTACCAGACAGAAGTAATTGATCGTCCAACCGATAATGGAACTCGAAACGGAATAGCCTCACTTTTTGCTGCGTAAGCACGCAAAATTGGGGAACGGATTCGAAAACTTAAAATTCACAAGGGAGCAATTAGCTTGCCTCCATCAGACTAGCCGGTCCGGCTACATAGGGTTTCGCAATTACGTTGAACGGGCGAACACGGCTCCTCATCTAATTGTGACAGTTCTACAGTGCTCGAAAGCAGGCAGAAATTCGGATGACTAACACATCTGATATACAAACCGGCATTTCTCGCTGCTTTGGACAAACTAGCGTGTCTGCTCATTTTGGAGAAGCAAACAAAAAAACGATTCAAGTAACAGCATCTACCACATCAAAATATGCATCGAAATCACTCTTTCTTGACTTCACAGGTGGCAGTGGTTCATGGTTAGATAACCAATATCCATTCGGATTTCTTCGCCCCCATCCGGATAACCTGTGCATTCATTACTTCAGGAAGGAGAAAGCAAAAAGCTTGTCCCTTGGCCTCATATAAGATGTTTTAATATCTGACTGCCTTTAAAATCGCCCAAACTTTTGGTCAGCCGCCGCATTAATGTAAAATGAACGAATTCGAGTTGGGATGGCCTTCGACTGAAGTGATTTTCGTTAAAATTGTATGTTGTGAAAATAGTAGACTTTCCTGCTCCCTAGGATGATGCAACTACGACGTCTGTCCCGAGACAAAGGACAGGGCAGAATAACGTTTCAAATACGTCTCGCCATGTTTTTACAGCAGTAGGTGTGGCTGGTGGCTAAGATAACAATAAGTCGTCGGACATATGTTACCCTGGTAACAGACAAAAATAAACGACGGTTGTAATCTAGGGCGAACCATCGCCTTACCACGAGCAGGTCAAGTCGCAAATTAGCTACAAATGAGCATACAAAATCGGACATTTTGGTCGCCGAGGTCGTGAGTAAGAAGTGCATGTTACTTAAAAAGCCGTGGATTCAAAATGAGGCTAACGATAAATTGCAAGGAAAACCAGATAGAGGATGCGAGTGTATTAGGTAACATCACTGCAGTGTCTAGTTCGGAGTTCAAAAGACGGCAGATAACGAAAATTGTGACCTTGAACGCAATGAACAATACGGCCGGATTCAGGACTCGTGAAGTTACGAGAGACTCGAGTTTGTTAAACGTGTCATTATACTTGAACGTTGGAGAACCATATCGATTTGTTTGGGTATGGAGACCAATAAAAGATGGGTGGAAGAGACGACTGTTAAACACCGGTAAATTCATCAGGTATGTCGGTTATCCAGGTTTCCGTCTCCGTTCAAGCATTTCTGGCCAACCGCAGCCGGGGTTGGGATTAAATTCATTCATTTTGTGTGACTACATAATCCTGTGTCACCGGATCAACTGCATATTTCAATAGAGATACTATGAAACTGAATAGATTTAGTGCAACTCTCAAGAGGTTCACCGTGCAATGATGGTCTTGCGAAAGTCTTTTTTGTACTACCAACCTGGTCTTGGATATTCCTAACAAGCGTGCAGCAAAATCGAGAATAGCAGTTACCTTGCGCTGTTGACATGCTGATCGCTGGGATATAGTGGCTATCTGACAGACTATGCCTCATTAGTTCGCCCTAGTGGTTCATTCGGATTATTATGTTACTATTAATCTTATTCACCCGTGGCTGATAGCTCTAAGGATCTGCGAAAGAGTTTCTTCGACTCCTTAGGTCAATAAAAGATCCAGTTAACCAATCATAGCCTGAAATTGCCCAAACAGGGGGGGGGGCGGAAGATTTCGCCCTGTCCACGAAATTATCTGAAAACTGGGAAAGTTGATGTGCCGAAGATATTGACAAGACACTTGGGATGTGTCCAGATGAGCTGCTAGTGTTACAAAAAACAACCTTACTGCAAGGTGATGGTTTACAAACCTACGTCATGAGAATACTGGGAAGTGACCGTGTGACATTTGCAGCCTCTTACATCAGCCTGATCAAAAGGGGGGGTTCGATCGACAACAATCGTCTCGTTCTCAGGTTGGGAGATGGAACGTGCGGAAGCACACCTGTCCTCCTTATATGAAGAGCAATTTCATTCTCCCCAAACCAACTGGGCTGATACAACAGATAGCACACTCGTCTACCATATCGACCGTATCATCCGGAAGTCTGTGGCTTGGGTTTGGTCTTGCAGTACCACCTTATGCTTCGTAGGCGTTAAATAGGCTGGGTTGTGCAACCGAGCTCCTTGAATTGCTTACAACTGTTTGCATCCCTGTGAGATTCAGTACACATGAAGTCTTCAGCGTACTTAATGTCCACAAGCGAAGGCCCTGGGAGATCGATTCTGGCGATTCCAGAGACAAATGGGCGCTTCCGCATTACAAAGTTGAAGAGCACTCTTGTCTGACATCAATGGATGAAGTTATCAGGCAAAAGCTTTATGAAGATATCGAAACGCACATAGGATCAGCGTACACCTATTTTAATAAGCTTACGGATTTACACGAAGTGGCCCCATAGTACCTATCATAGTACTTGGTAGGCAGAGATGGTGAGGAGATATTGGTGTTTCACAGGCCTAATTCTACGCATGCAGGCTCGTCAACAAGTCGATTGGTGCTCGAAAGTTAATGGTGCTGAAACGTTCGTCGAGAATCACTTGTATTCTAGCAGAGACACGCTGAGTCACTAAATGCATTATTTTATTTGTATGTGTTTTTGAGTGAAACAGGCCTATCCTAAGGTTCAAGATCAAAGTTAATACCTGTATTCGGTAGATCATGGTACCTTCACAGACACTTTGGGGGGAATCAAGCGTTTGAGGAATATTTACATTTGAGCTGAATCTGGATCCCGCAGATAGGATTCTCTTCACTATATGCTTCTCGTCTACTTAAGTGTAAAGTACAGTCCTCAGCAAAAAACGGGCATACGGACTTTCGAATATTGTTACATTCGTTTGGTTATCCAGAGAGTACTGGGGAGCGAAACATCCCTCTGAATTTTAAGACAGTTCGATGCATATTGCAGTTGAATGCAAGCAGAAATGGGCACCACGGTACGATCGTACTTGCCATAGAGTCGACATCGAAACCTGCAGGTGTGCCTCAATAAGTTCGGACTTCGGCCCACATCACAGAGGGGAAAGATCCAGATAGCACAACTACCTAGGATACCTGTTCACCCAGTCCCAAGTCCTTAGAAGTTACTGAATAATACGAATAGCGGTAAATCCGTTCAAAGCACTTCTTTTGTGGTGCTCACAGTGCTGAGATACTGAAAGGCACTCTGCGCAACAACAGAAAGACGAGACTATCATACGTTAATACCGAAAAGCAGCTGTATTAGCTTGCACGTCCCAGGATGCAGCCCAGTTAGCCTGTCAAACGTAGGCGATCTCGAAACAGTGAAGCAGCAACGGATGATGTAGAAACGGAGGACGAAAGAATACACTGCTAAACTTTCGACAGCAGGAGACTTAAGATTCACCAGGTTGGGTGTGAAAGGTTCTTTGATTAGGGACTTTGTCACATGTGGCTCAAGGTCGTACTCCCATGATGTGGCCAACTACTCTATCGTGGTTACGCCTGAATTCAGCTTACCAGACTACGCGAACACGGGACACGGCCGTATTGTCAATACAAAATACAGAGCTTCTGCGTTAATATGTAGAATGGATAAGTGGTCAAATATGGTCATTCGCCTGTTCGTTCTGTCCAGTCAATGACGACGTTCCTGCCGTGAACAATTTCACACCCAATCAACTAGTCGAATGCTGGTAAGCCGTGTCTTGTAGGATTCCCCACGCACCTACTGTCCGGAACATATGGTACCCATGGAGACCTTAGGAACGCGTCGTTCTCTGCACATGTGCTTTTCATGTCTGGACGCTTTCTGACACCAACCATGTTTATTTAGTGGACGACTTATATAACTCTCTTTATCTGACACAGTGTCTCATCGAAGCTTCCAAACTTCGAACCGGTCACAAACAAACCGTGATATCAAGCTCCAGATGACGAACAGTTCATTAGAAGCTGTTGTCTGTTGAAAGATGGTACTAGTGAGCCATCAACATCACCTTTGAAGAACATTGGTGTTCACAGACCATAAAAGGTGGATGGCGATTGACTATGTCGACCAGCGGTCAATTCATTATTCTCGGTTGCCAAAGTCTGAAAAAATGACCGAATACACCTCCAGTTATGAAGCACTGAGTGCACAATCGCTCGAGACACGATCTGATACCGATAAGGGAAAGATACCCAGAAAGTTTATTGATCGGCCCATTTCCATAAATGGATGACATCATCCTGTGACCTATCGACCAACTCTAAGTTTATTGATGTAGCACTCTGCCCATTGAGGGCGAGA